ATATTGCTAGTTAAAAAAAAAACCTCACTGAGACGAGACAAATATTGACTTCTAGCTCAAAATATCAATGATGTCAACCTCGTACCGTACCGGTTTTGACATTTGATCGAAACGGTACAATGTTAAATTTTGTTTCGGTCATTTCGGTTAAAATTTGGTGTACCGGCCGGAATTTTGTGTACCAGCCGGTACACAAAATTCCGACCGGTACATCGAATTTTGACCGAAATGGTCAGATTTTGACCGAAATGATCGGATTTTGACCGAAATGAAATTTAACATTGTACCATTTCGGTCAAATGTCAAAACCGATACGTACCGGCCGTACTGGTCAGTACGGTACGGGATTGACATCATTGGGTGAAAGCCACCAAGAAGAACCAATAAATCCGACCCAAACCCAAATATTAAGCCCACTAGCCATTGAATTCAAGGCTTAACCCACTTTCACAAATCAACCCATTAAAACCCAAACCCAACAATAAAAAAACCCAGTTTTCCTTTCTCTTTAAAAAGTGGGGAGCCGCACAGAAAAGGCGAAAACGAGGGGAGGCTGCAGAACCAGAAAAAAAAAAAAAAACAAAAACAAAGAGAGAAGCTCCTGATTCTTCCTCCTGGAATCCCAATTTCGACCATCACCACCATAACCATTCTCCGTTCATCATCACCACCACCATCACCACCACCACCACCACCATCATCATCATCATCCCCATCTGGTCTCCATCCTCTTGGCACCCTCAGCAGCGATTCCATATCCTTTTCATGTAGATCCCACTTCCTCTAGCCGACTTCCAATCTCCAGATCTGCTAGCCTTCGCCTCACAACAGCTGCACCTCCTCTCCTCCATCTCACAGCAGCCGGACAGCCCCTTTGAATCCACCGGCCTTTTCTAGTTTTCAGTCATCGATTGCTCCCCTTTCTGTTGGTATTCTCTCAATCAGAGGAATTTTGGTGCGGTAGTGAAGGGAATGATTCGGGCCTGATTCCGTGGGTGGGATTCCTCGGATCGGACTTCAATCGGCCACCCAAAATTCTGCCATTTACTTCTTCTGGAAAGTATATTCATGTTTTGTTTTATTGTTAGCTGCATTTTATAAATGATGATATTATTATTATTATTTTTCTTGGAAAAAGGAAAGTTTTCCATTAAACCTCATATGATAGGTACAATTTCCTCCCAGGACATTACACTCTTCAGATTTTTAATTTCGAAAAATTAACTATCTTATTATATATATCATTTTTAACCAAAAACCTACTAAGAGTTACTCTCCTATTTATTTCCTACCAAATCATATATATAGTGGCAGCTATTGCAGCCTTCAACTTGTTTGATTGCACCGATCGACATTTACATGCCTTCTTTAATCATGACAATTACATGTCTACGAATATTCAATAAGTCCAAGACTAACCTCCACACTTCTTTAGCAAACTACAATAAAAAAAATAGGTGCTTACAAGTTTCATCATATCTACAACACAAGTAGCACCCCTTCTCAATTATCATATCTCTACTTGTTAGCAAATCTCTAGTTTTTAGTCTACCTCGCAATACCAACCAAAAGATGAAGCTATGTCGCGGGAAAATACACTTGGCCCAGACAATATGATGCCATTCTACCTTAGGGCGTTTCACTCTTAGGAACTCATAACAACTCGAAATAGTAAACAAACCATTCTTTGTAGGTTTCCATACAGCTTTGTCCACTTGTTGAGGTAGTTTTTGACATCTAATAATCTAGACAAGTATGGGATGTCTTTTCACAAAACTATTTGGAATGGTCCAATCTAAACCATCCCATCACTCACTAACTGTAAGGTCATGGCCCCAAACAGCAATCTCATCCTTTGAGATCAACTCACAGAACCTTAACTCACCTTCCCACCAATCATAGAATAGTGAAACTTGTCTTCTATCTCCCACTTGCATCCAAATGATATTTTTCAGTAGAGAACGAAGCTTTAAAACTTGCCTCTATGTCCAAGCATAATCCGTTGGGATTTTAACCTTCCAAAAATTTTCACCCTTCAATAACACCACCTGTGCCCACTTAACCCATAGCGACTCTTGATGTTGACATATATTCCAGGCCAGTCTGCCTAATGCTGCCTTATTCCAATGCAGCAACTACTTCACCCCTAGTCCCTCTTCTTTCCTTAGCACACATATATCATCCCATGCTACAAGAGACATTACATTATAATTCCATTTACCACACCAAATGAAATTTCTACAAGCAGCATCAATTAGCTTTAACACTTTCTTAGGAATCAATAAAGCACCACTCCAAAAAACTTGAATGTGGAATAAAACAGAATTAACTAGTTGAACTCTACCTGCATATGAAAGGAATTTCGTTGCCCAAGAGCTAATTCTCTGATGAATTTTATCGATAATAGGTTGACATGCCCCAGGAGACAGCTTTTTTGAAATCAAAGGCAACCCTAAGTATCTAACTGGAAGCTGTCCCTCAGCAAAACCCAGCTTCTGAATTAAAGCAACTTTTTGCCCCTTTTTAACACCACTAAAGAAAACCTGACTCTTCATTCTATTCACTTCCAACCCAGAGACTCGGGAAAACTCCTCAAACTTTTGCATCATCAAAACAGTGGACTCCTCATTAGCCTTACAAAAAAGCATAATGTCATCTGCAAAGATCAAGTGCGTAAGTTGCATCACTCGACACTTACTATGATATTTAAACTTCTCCTGCATATCTAACTCCTTCAACTTCCTTGTGAGATATTCCATCACTAGCACAAATAGATAAGGCAAGATTGGATCACCTTGTCGAAGCCTTTGTTGCCCCTGAAAATAACATTTTGGCTGTTTGTTTATCAATACAGAAAATCTGGTAGTAGAAGCACAAAGCATAAGCCAGTTAATAAATCTATCAGGGAAGTTTTGCCCTCTTAACATTGCATTAACAAAACCCCAATCCATTGAATCATATGCTTTTTGTAGATCAATTTTCATTAAGCATCTAGCTGCCCCCTACTTCTATGATAGTTCCTCACAAGATATTGGCAAATCAATAAGTTTGTTGTTATAGATCTGCCCTTCACAAACGCAGTTTGATTACTGCTAACCAGCATGCTCAACACTTCATTAATCCTCTGGGTTAAGAGCTTTGATATCACCTTGTAGATGACATTACAACAAGCTATTGGCCTATAATCATTGACAACATTTGGGCAACTCACCTTCGGAACAATAGTAATATTGATGGCATTAATTTGCTTGAGGATTTTCCCATTGTCAAAGAAATCCAACACAGCAGCCGTGACATCATTTTTAATTATTGACTAGGCTACTTTATAGAACCCTAAAGTGAATCCATCAGGCCCTGATATAAATGATGATATTAATCTAGAATATCGGAGTTATTTTTCCTTATTATCGGTTCTTTGTTTGCTACATACGAAATTTGCTTGAGATCTGTGTTTAATTTCCTTTTGCTGTTAGGAGCTTGATTGAAAAAAAAAAACCCAATTTGTGTTCAATATGATCTATTTGGACCCGAATTGATATTTGGATTATGTTTGTGAGTCGGGTTGAACCCAGTAGCTTTATGAACCAACAAAAAAAAAAAAAAAACTAAACAACTAAAAAAAAAAAGTAAAAGATAAAAAGGTGAAAAATATATATAAATAAAATGATCATGATATCATGATCAATTAATTTAAATGGTTTGTTTTTCTTAATCAGGTAAAAAAAAAGTCCAAATTATCTTTTATTAAATTTCAATTTCCCACAGAACTTTTAAGATTAAGCAATTTGTCTCACTAGTTTTAAATCTTTTCAAATCAGTGCTCCATGTTTCAAGTTTAATTCCTCCATTTTTAATTTTGTTGCAATTGCATTTGTATGTTCTTGATTTTGTTCAATTCAATCCAAGTATTTTCAAGCTTCACAGTTTCATCCATTGACTTTTATTAGTTGACTTAATCAAAATTGAAAATAATGAAAGTTGAATAGATCCCTAAATGTTGAAGTATGCAATTGTGTTCTACACGAAGGATTGTGGGGTGCGCATATACCTATTCTCACTCCTAATTGTACCTCTGAACTTCAATCTTTGCGCAAATCATGTTTTGGGTGACTTATCTCATCTTATAATTTGGACAAATGGTGACTCCTTTCTTTTTCTTTTTTTTTTTTTTTTACTACACCTAATCTTTCAATATATATTTAAAATATGAAAATTTTTTGAAAAAAATTTAAGTGGTCATCATCACTTCCTTGAGAGGTTTCTTTATTAACCCAAGCATAGATTTTAGAGATCCAAATATGGATTTTGGTAAGGATTTAGTGAGAAGATTAGTAGCTTGAACTTCAAAATCACAGTGTAGAAGTTTGATTCCCTTCTCCTTAACATATTGTCTAATGACATGGTATTTCACATGAATATGCATTGTTCTCCCATGCCATACTAGATTTTCAACAATTACAATGGCTTATTTGTTGTCAATTTGAATCACACATGGCTAAACTTGAGGTTATCCCATGTCATTCAGTATTTTCCTCAACCATATAACATGATTTGATGTAGCTCCAACAGTAACATATTCTACTTTTGCTATGGACTGTGCGATAGGTTCCTACTTAGGTGAATTCCAACAAAACATCCCTAAACCAAATGAGAAAATATATCTTGTAATGCTCTTTGAGTCATCAGGACATCCTACCCAGTCACTATCCATATAGCCTTGCAAGAACCATCACTTGTAGACTCGTACAAAGTTCCATAATCAACAATTTCATTTACATATCTCAAAACTCTTTTAGCAACGTTGAAATGAGTTTGAGATGGTGAAGTCATGTATCTTGATATCAAATTGGCAGCAAACATAAGATTAAGCCTTGTTGTTGTAAGATAGAGCAAACTTCCAACCAAACTTCTATAAACAAAAGCATTACACTTCAAGCTATCCTTATCCTTAAATAATTTTAGATTTTGTGTGAGAGGAGTACCAATTGGCTTGCATTTATGCATTTTGAACTTCTTGAGAATATCCTTGGCATATTTCTCTTGTGCAACAAAGATTCCGTTGCTACATTGCATCACCTCCATTCTCAAAAAGTATTTCATCTTTCCCAAATCAATCATTTCAAATTCATTATGCATGGAAACCTTGAATTTTTGAAGGAGTTCAGTGTCTCCTCTAGTTACCAAAAGATTATCAACATAGAGAGAGACAAGCAATTGAGAATTAGGATTTCCACTCTTAGCATAAAGAGTGAATTTAGTTTCTCTTCTTTAAAATCCCTGTTCTATCAAGTATGAATCAATCCTATTATATTGAGCTCGAGGGGCTTGTTTTAAGCCATAGAGAGCTTTATGCATCCTGTAGACATGAACTTCACAGCCTTGAGCTAGAAAACCTTCCAATTGTTTAACATATAACTCCTCTTCCAAAATTCCATTTAAAAAGCAGATTTGACATCTAAATGATAAACCTTCCATTTCTTTTAAGTAGCTAAGGCTAAGAGAAGCCTTATAGTATCATGCTGGCTATTAGAGAAAATGGTTCTCCAAAATCAATTCTAGGTTGTTATGCACACCCTTTTACCACAAGCCTAGCCTTGTATTTGTTCAAAGAACCATTAGCATTATACTTCAATCTACTCCTTCTTAACTCTTATAACATTTTTGTGACCAAGTACCATTCTTTTTCATTATAGTAAGCTCCTCCTACATTGCATTTCTCCATTCTTCATGCTTAGAAGCTTCTGCATAATTAGATGGTTCATCTGCTGCAAAACTGCATTGCTGATAAATTTCCTCTAAAGACTTTTCTTTCAAGATAAGAGAATCATCATCTATATCAACAAACTTGCCATTTGAATTTGAGTTAGCAGTTTGCTTAGATTAACATCATCTTTCTTCAAAATAGAACCGTGTTTTTCAACTTTTTTTTGCTCAAAGATCCATTATGCATCTTCCTCAAATTTAAAATCCCCATAGACATTCACCTTCTTAGAGGGCATATCATACACCTTAT